CCAAGCAAACTTACCCCTCAGCTTTCTCCAGGAACTTCCAGAGGTTCAGCAGCAGCACCATGAGGTCTTTTCATGGACTTGATAAAGACATTTGGAAGGCTGAGGATTCATGTAAAGCAAAATTTCCCATTTTCAAGGTTCTTATTTGTTTTACTTGTTGTATTTATTATGTTGAAAATGTGAGACTGTTTTCTAAGAAACTATTATATCCCCTGATTTAGGTGAGAATTATATTGAACACATTGCAGATAATGAGACAGATTCTTGCAGAGAGATGAAAAAAGACTAAGATCAGAAATGCGTGTTATTTCTCTACCCACCTCTTGGTGCTGTGTCAGTATCTGAATAACCCCCACAAACTTATTTTTCTAAGAAGCTTGCCTACCCCGTACACACACTAATAGCACCGCAATTTGAACTGAAAAAGAGAAGCATCTAAATTCTCCTATCAGTGGGCCTTTGTAGAATGAAGATTAGATATATCCCACACATGGAGTCAGGACCACTGCTAATCAAAATTGTAGGGTAAGGGCAGTTTTCATCTAAGACTTGTCATCTTTGATTTAAACATTGTCTCTCATTTGTTGTGCCTACTGCATATGTAGTATGCTCTGGGTGCTCAGGGAACCCTTCCTCCAGCAATCTCCATAGGAATCTCTTTCAATAGGTAGCAGTCTATACTTAGAGTATTTTTTGCTACCCCTTATCAAAAATTACTTTCACTGGATCTTATTCTCTCAGGGTTAATTGTCTGTCTTCTCCACCTAGAATGGGACCATTGTCTGCTTTCATCACTAGTGAATCCCAAGCACCTGGAATAATGTGGCATTTAAGATGAAAGAATAAACCAATCTTTGTCATTGTGTCCCCATCTCCACTGAGTTGATTCTAACTCATACAGGAATCCTACAGGATCTGACAGGACTATACAGAAGTAAAACTGCCCAATAGGGTTTTCAAGGTTGTAAATCTTTACAGAAGCAAACTGCCACACCTTTCATCCATGGAGCAACTGTTGGGCTCTAACCTCTTACCTTTAGATTAGCAGCTTATACAGACACCTACTAAAATCTTAAATCAGAGATTTTAGAGAGATATGGCCAGCAGGAATGTTCTCTTTTTCCTACAGAGTGTTGAAAACATTTTTTGAACGTTGGAAACATTCACTTAAATTCCTTTTTAACTTCTCTTGAAAAAAGCAGATCTGATAACAATGGTAACAATGACTGCCCTTTCTTAGATGGAACATGCCTTGCCATTTTCCTACCACTGTCTGTTGGCTCTCCAACAATGAGACTGTGTCAGTTCCAATATTGAGAAACCGAAAATAGAATTTTAGAATATTATAATTCTTATCCTTAGTCCACAATTACCTTATTTGTTGGAGAAATTAGATATTTGAGTTTGTGACTCCAGTTTTAAAATGTTTTCTTTCTAGGCTATGTTTTGTATTTTGCTTAGATCAAGTTGAATACTTAAAATATATCATGATGTGGTTGGAAATTTCACACATTGGGACAAGAGAAATATTTTAGGCTGATAGAATTTCCAAATTACACCATACAGGTCGCTGCCTTTTCTGTCTGTACATAAGCCCTTTGTTTAAGAAAAATTGAGATCTCTAGGTTCTTCTAATTTTCTTAAAGGTTTTTTTCTCAAACCCCCAGAGGTTCTACAGTGTGCATTGCCTCTTAATATCTCTTTTTACATTTAGATGCTGTTTTGGGTTTTTAAAAAAAAAAAAAAAAAAAAAATTCTAAATCACTGTATTCATACAGCTATTGCAAAATCTTATCTAATGCTGAAATTGAGTTCAAATTGGGTATTTTTTGCCACTAGCATCATAGGCAACGATGGCTTGACCATAGTCTATTTAGCACAGCATGTAAGTAGCCAATTAAAAACCATCTGATGACGGAAAACGGCAAAAGTGCTCCAGGAAGATTACTCAGGCCTCAAAGGAATTTTTCCTCCTGTTTGGCTCTGCATATAATTTAAAATCACTAGATAAGAACAAACCACTAGTTGGCCTCACATTTTATAACTGTGTCCTTCTTGAGAACTTCATGGCCTGTAAGAGACACAGGTCACTTCTCTGTATCAGACTTACTAAGTAACTAGAATTAATTCATAGACCTTCCTGCTGGAAGGATGGGGAAAATTATACAGCAAAAAGATGCCCATGCTTATGACCTAACTCTACATAAAATGGTATACTTATCAAAACCAAATACTTTTAATATAAAATAATCATGTTTATTAGTTGAAATTTACTACATTTAAAGGTAACAACATATAATTTTAGCCTCAATTTCTTTAGCTTATATTCATATTTTAAATATAAAGTTTTTATGTTTCAGAAAGTTAAGATCTCTCCTTTTAAGTAGACTTTATGCAGCAAATTCATTTTTAAACTAAAATAATTTATTTAAACATATGGGTATTTTTTCCACAGTTCAGGCTACAGTAGAAAACAAGCCAAATGAAGTTGCCTTTTCCTGGAATTGACGTTCAGTCGTTTATAACAAGGGAGCTCTGGTGGCATAGTGCCTAAGGTATTTCACTGCTAACCAGAAGGCTGGTGGTTCAAACCCACCAGCCACTCCTCAGAAGGAAGATTGGGCAATCTACTTCTGTAGAGATGCCGCCTCAGAAACCCAAAGAGGTCTCACTATGAGTGGAATCAACTCAATGGCAATGAGTTTGTTTTCTTTTTTTTTGGTTTGTTTATAACAAACAAATAAGCAAATGAATAGCTCATCAGGTAGATAGATTCTAATTTAGAGATGTCAAGGAAGGTTAAAAAAAAAAAAAAAAAAAAGCCCAAGTAACACAACAGGTAAACACTGGGCTGCTAACTGAAAGGATGGCAGTTCAGACTCACCCAGCAGCTCCAAGGGAAAAAGAACGGATGATCTGCTTCTGTCAAGATTAAAAACAAACAAACGAAAGCATTGCTGTTGAGTTGATTCTGACTCACAGCTACCCTATAGGACCAAGTAGAACTACCCCCATAGGGTTTCCAAGGCTGTAATCTTTATGGAAGTAGACTGCCACATCTTTCTCCTATGGAGCCACTGTGTGGGTTTCTAAGTCCACCTTTTCAGTTAGCAGCCAGGCACTTAACCACTGTGCAACCAAGACTCCTCCATAAAAATGACAGCCTGGGGAACTCTATGGAACAATTCTGCTCTGTGACATGAGGTCTTTAGGAATCCAAAATCAACTGGATGGCACCTAACAGCAGCGGCAGCAGGCAAGACGATACTTGAGCAGAGGCCTGAGTGAAATGAGAAAGCCAGTCATGCAGGGACAATCGGCAGAGGGTTTCAGGAAAGGGGAACAGCAAGTGCAAAGAGTATCAGATGCAGAGAATAACCAATCCATAAGGGACTCACCTGCCTAACACAGGTGAGTTAGGACCTAGGAAATAGGACACTATTTTCATCTGTTTGCCTGTCCACCATCACTCTACTCCTGAACAGCTTCATCGAAGTTAGTAACAATTTGAACCCTCTTATTACTAGAACCCTAACTAGAACACTTTCTGTTGTTCAAGCAACAGAAAGATGGCTAGTGAGGCTGGAAAGGAAGGAACAGAGAAAAAGAGAAGATGATGTCAGGCAGAAGCCATGGATCAGACTTGTAAGGCTTTATAGGACTTTGAAGAGTTTAGGTTTATGGCAGGGGTGATGGTAAACTGTTTGAAGGTTTTGAGACTTGTATTTTAAAATCAATGATGATGATGAGATGCAGGAGGTACTGATAATAGCTGTCATGTATTGAACATATATTATGTGCTAAGTACTTCACATATATTATCTCATTTAATCTCTATAATAGTTGCATGATGGTAGTCACTGTAGCTGTTATTATATTATAGAGGAGGCAATCACTAAGCAACTGGTAATGAATACTGTGTCCACAGTCACACAGTAAGTGGAAGAGCCAGGCTTAAATAAAGTGATGATGCTCTAAAATCACTCAATAATTTTTGATGGAGGAGCTCTGGTGGCATTGTGCCTAAGGCATTTGACTGCTAACCAGAAGGCTGGTGGTTCAAACTCACCAGCCACTCCTCAGAAGGAAGACTGGGCAGTCTACTTCCATAGAGATACAACCTTGGAAGCCTAAGGAGGGGTTGCTATGTGTGGGAACCAACTCGATGGCAGTGAGTGTGGTTTTTGTTTGTTACAACATAGACTCTGGGTGTGATTGGTCTTTTCATTCATGTCACATCACTTAGACTTAAACTGAAGGACTCGTAAGCTCATATAAATTATTGTATGACTTGCCTGTTTTTCTGGACATGTTTAAGGTATAAGGATAATATTGGCATACTTAATATTATCTTGCAATTAGAAAAAAGAATATGATATCTCCTTCTTAAAAATTCTGTACGGTGAATGGGTTTTTAATCTGAAGATTCAGAATTGCATTTCAATATCTTGATTTCCTTAGTAATCTAGTGTGTATTTTTTTCAGTGCATTTAAAAACATCATCCTGAGAAGGAGTTCATAATGTTCTCTAGACTGCCAAGAATACAGTGTGTGTGGAGGCAGTATGTGCAAGGATTCCCATAAATTTGTTTGAATCTTAGCAGAACTGCTGAAATGCCAATGGTTTTATTACATTGGCGTGAAAGAGAAAGTGCAAAGCACATGCCCGGGCTCACAAAGAGGCCAGCTGGAGCTACAAGACCACATGTCCCAGTTAGCCCAGGATTGTTCCAATTTAAATATCACTGCCTTTCACTCTCAAAAGTGTCCTACCTAGAGCAGTAAATCATATAGTCACCTGTAGCTATCACTGTTATCCAAAAGCCAAGTGGTACGTGGAGCAAATTGAATGCTACATCCAGGACCCGTGATGATCAGGGTTGCCAACCCTGACTTCACCCTCATTGCAATAATAAATGGGTATATTCAAAGCATTTGGGTGAAGCAAAGAATATAATGAAAATAGATGCTGTTTAATAATAATTATTTTTCTTTCACAGCCAAAAAGGAGCATAAAATGGAAGAAAGTCATTTGGAGAATGCACAGAAGAGGTAAGCAGCCCTGACATGGTCCCAGCTCTTTCTTTGAATAACCATTCTTGAATTGGTACCATTTGTTAAGAGTATATATACATGAATAATAAAATCATCTTGGCAGCTGGAATGGAAGCACTGTAACAGAGTTGGGGATATGTTTCTTCACGAAACAGAGAACAATTCAGAAGTGAGTCACCTGCCCTCACACACAGTTCACAGCACCAGTTTCATCTGTTTGCCACTCCTCATCACTCCGTTCCTGAACAGCTTCAAGGACACTAAGAACAATTTCATCTTTCTTATCATTATACCTCTTGGTGTGGTTAGCTGCAATTGAGTTGATTTTGACTCCTGGTGACTGAATGTGACAGACTAGAACTGCCCCGTTGCATTTTCTAGGCTGAAGTCTTTATAGGAACAGGCTGCCAGGTTTTTCTTCTGTGGAGCTTTCCCTTAGCAGTGGAGCACTTAACCATTGTACCACCAGAGCACCTTAGAATTATATTAGACTAAAACAATTACTGGAAACATCTAAGACTTATGTCTTTCCTCAGATCCCAGCATATATGGTAAAAAAAAAAAAAAAAAGCTGGGGTAGAAGTAAAGAGAGGGGCTGGAGAGGAGAGAACACTGAGCTCTCTATATGGAAACACTCCCACAAGTTGGAAGAGACCTCAAAGGTCTTCTGTTAAACCTCTCAAGTAACTTCAGGCCTCTGGTTCACTTCTCCTCTCAACAGACATCAGTGTGGAACCATACATTTGTCAGAAGACAATAATCATGGAACTTGGAGATTTTTATTTTTGTCAACTGACTGGTTTAGTCAGCTTGGCAATATCCCTCCCTCTTCAAAATGTGAGAGATCATATGCTGAGGCGTTCTCATTGTCAGGGCAGAGAACTGAGATTAATTTTGCTGGTGTCAATTCTAAAAGTACTAGAGAATTAAATGAGAAGTAGGAATAGGAAACAGCATGTAAGGAAAAAATATGCCTTACAGATTTGTGGAGGGAGGAGTTAATGATTTTAAATACAAATGAGCAAACTCTAGAAGTGAGATATTTCATAATAAAAAGTTTTAAAAATAAACACTTGCTGTTTCTTAAAAACATAAAAATCAAAGAAACATGAAAGTCTTAATAACAACATAATAATGGTTTATTTTTTCACTGTCACAGTCTGAAGAGGAGTTGTAGGTATCTCAGTCTTTTAGGTAGGCATTTGAACACAAAGATTCCACAGGCACCACACACACACACACACACACACACACACAAGAAGTGAGCCATTATCCTCCTGACATCATAGTGTGTCTAGCCACAATTTCCAAAAGTTCTGAAAGCCTATATAGATACTGTCTGCCCTGCTTTGACAAGGCCAACATCATGCCCTGCTTCTCTCTGTAACTGCCAATGAAATAAAAATGTAGATGAGAGCAAGGTAGACCTTATACTTTTCTAAGTGCAGACATACTGTTGAATTATGATTGTCATCCTATCATGATAATCATTGAAAACCAAGATAATGACTTGGCTATACGTTGTTGATTGTTGTGCCCTGTAAAGAGCTCTGATGGAGTAAATGGTTAAAGCATTTCTCTGCTAACCAAAAGGTCAGCAGTTCGAACCCACTAGCCGTGCTGTGGGAGAAAGATAAGGCAATCTGTATCCGTAAATATTTGTAGCCTTGGAACCTGTATGTGGCACTTCTGCTCTGCCATAAAGGTTGCTATGAGTTAGAATGAACTTGATGGCAGTGGGTGGGATCCATCTCTATTTGGAGTCCCTGGGTGATACAAACAGTTAACACACTTGGCTGCTATCCAAAGAACTGGTGGTTCGAGTCTACTCAGAGGAGTCCCAGAAGAACAGTCTGGCAGTCTCCTTCCAAAAACTCAACCATCGAAAACCCTACGGAGCACAGTTCTATTCTGACACACATGGAGTCACCATGAGTCAGGGTTGACTTATCCCCATATTAAGCTTTCCTTCTTCAATGTCTAAAACTGGTACTTCTGTGTTATGGAAATATTCCACACATAGAAAAGAGATCGTCACCAAGGGCTTACTGGTATCAGGCCAAACAGAAAGTTGCTTCCAGGGAAGATGTCAAATTTCTAATACTTTTTCAAGATTTTTTCTTAAGGAAAAGGGGGCCCACCTTAGAGGGGCCACAGCTGCTGCTGTGCATTAGCTATGCTGAAGGAGGTCATAAATTTTGGTTGTCAGCATTTTCCGTGGCTTTGTGGTGAAGGTAGTCTAGCTTTCATGTCATACATGAAATATACTAGATCCCATCTTTAATGTAGAAACCACAGTTGTTTGGTTACACACTTTAAGGAGGTTGGTGGTCAGTGTTGCAATATTTGTGTGAGATTGGTAAATTCTTATGTTTTATTCTCAAGAGAAACAATTTACTCTGAGGCTAAGGAATATTTGCTTTTCCTAAGCACTTTCTGAAGGCATGCATGTAAAATAATAAGTGGATGTGTTCTGCTTTGGCATACTCACGCTGCACAAGTAAAACAGTTCACTTGGCTGTGGGCTCTTTGATAGAATCATTGGCTGTCCTTTAAAAATACTTGGCCAAATTAAAAAGATACAAATCAGACAAGGAATTACAGCAGAGAGAATGGGACTACGGGAGGAGTTCAGAGTGAAATAGAAAAGTTGTCTAAAACAAAACATATGATTAGAGATTGTTCTGTTAGAAATTGAAAGCTATTTTAGAGTTATCCGCTGACAAATAGAAATCTCAAAAAGTATGACTGCCCCTTCGTTTCCTGTCTATTGGAGTAAAGTTGCCTGGTTGTTAAAATCAACAATTTCCTTCCCCAAGCTTTGGAAAGTGTTCAGTGATTAGTCTTCTGTGAATCTAAACTGAATGTGAAAGGAAGAGAATTTTGTTTGTATACTACAACAGTCCAGATCTTATCAGGTATTTGTAAGTTCCTATTTTAGCTTTTGTCTTTCTTTTAAATGAAGGGATAACACTGAAATCAAATAAGGCACATGCTGGGAGCAACTTCATCTTCACCCAAGCTGTAGCATGCCAAAGCCGGGCTATCCTCTAGGAATCTGTTTGCTCTGATTCCTCTCAAGAGGTTCACTTACCTTCCCTGACTTATAAAACACATGAGAAAAAAATGCTGAAATTCAGTATTTTCCTTATTCTTCATCTCCCTTTGAGGGTTAATAAGAAGGGCTTCACAAATCCCTAGGAGGAAAAGCAGTGAAGGGACACAGTTAGCCTCATTTGAGAGCTGGGAAAAGTAAGTCCTCCCAGGAATGATGACATGCTGTCCACAGACCCTATCATAACCACCCAACAGCTCTATCATTCTCTGTAACTGCACCAGTATTTATAACATGTTGGTCTTACAATCTAGACTCAAAATAAACCCAGGAGGTGGGGCAATCCATGAAGCACAATGACTGGACTTTCTCTACTCTCTCCTATCTCCTGCTGGAGAATAAGAAGAGAATTTGTTCCTCTGAATACAAAAAAATTAATGACTTGGTGGAATGTTGTATGTTTTGTTACATATGTATATATTTACCACAATTTTAAAAAAGAACTAGTATGTATTAGTGCTCTGCTTATGAAACTGTATATTTCCTCCTATGACAAAATATTAAAATCAAGCTGCAAAATTCTAATAATTATCATTTTGTAATAAATTTAATTATATATCACATTTTTACAAAGTGAATGATTTTCTCTCCTCTGTTAATGCACCAATAAAAATGTATCTGAATACAAGGTGAACATAAAGAAGAGAAAAAAATAATGAGATGTTCTCTAATGGGGTTAATGAAAGAATATTTCAGTAGGAATCAGGGGACTCAGCGTCTAGTCCCTGCCCTGCCATTGAATAAGGCCATTCAGTCTTTCCAGGTCTCAGAGAAAATGGGATAAAATAACTTGTAAGTCCCTTCTAATTCTAAAATGTAATGACTCTCTAGGAAGTTTGTGGCCTATTTCTATGGGCTACATAACTCTCTACTTATGTGTTTGCAGGCTCTAAGCAATATACTTTTCATATTTAGTATAAATTTTACTCCTATTGAATGAAATAAAGTTATATGCTATAGAGTATATATTTGATTTTAACAGTAGTTTGACTGCCACAGAAGTAAGAGTCATGTCTGGGGTGAAAGTGGGCATTGTGTCTTTCTTCCATTACTGATTTTGCTCTAACAATCGAAATATATATGTTTGGAATTATAAGAGAGTCCCTTAAGAGATTACTGCAGTTATTGCCTTTCTCCACTTATGTACTTCCAGTCTTTTAATAACTAGAAGCCAAAATTCCCTGACCAGTAGTTTTAATTTGCATTAAAAACAGATTTATTATTTACAGAAGCACAAAGAATTTATGAGACTAGGAGCTGCAGCTCCAGCTTGGATCTCGCCTAATCATAGCCATGGAATCAATTAACAGTTCATCTGTGAAATGTGATAAAATCTTATGAGATACATATTGCCCAGTAACTAAGAACGAGATGAAAGTATGCTCCATAGTAGTAACGGGGCTTCAGAGTTTTACAATCACCATTGAATAGAGTTCCATTAGAAACTGTATTCAGGATGGCCACAAAACATGCTGCGTCTGAACAGATGATAGAGCATTAAGTAGTAAACCTGGCCAGCCATTCCTGCTTTGATTAGTTTCCAACACCCTAGAAAAGGGGGCCATTTATTTAAGTGTTCTTGCTCATGGCAAATGAGCTTGTGAGGCTTGGGGTGGGTGGGGGTGAGAGGGAAAGATTGAGTTCAGAGCTATAAATTGCTACAAAGCTAGTGCCTCCAAGAAGGGCTGCTTGGGAGGCCTGGGTAGTCTGTTGTGCAGTGAGCCTATGTGGAAAAGATTGGGAGGCTCTTACTGATAATGGGGAAACGACTTTGGAAAACTAGGGTTCTTTTCTGACCAAATTAGAGATTTTCTTTTCCAAGATCAGAGATGATCTTTTATCAAACTTTGCTATGCCCACAATTGTCTATTATTGTATGCTGGTAGTTTATATTCTTGTATCATATCAAGGTCTAAAATGTGTTGTTGTTGTTGTTATAGTTACCATTGAGTCGATTCTGACTCATGGCAACCCCATGTATGCACAGTAGAATTGTTCTAGAGGGTTTTCAAGGCCATGACCTTTTAGAAGCAGTTCACCAGGCCTGTCCTCCAAGGCACTTCTGGGTGAGTTGACAACCTTTTGACTGATAGTCAACTGGTTAACTGTTTGTGCTGAACAGGAACTTCTGTTCCCTCCTTAGATATTGTATAGTCAATCTCTTATTTTACCCTTGAGAAAATCGAGAGTCAGAGATGCTGAGTGATTGAGCCAAGGTTACAAAGTCAGCATATGCCAGAAAAGAATAGAAAGAACATGCTCCCGATTTTTTCATAAAACCTTCACTAGACTAAATATTCCCAGTGGGCTTTCTAACTGACCACTGCTAATGCTGCAGAATCAATATGTCATCAGTCTTACATGAAATCATTAAACATCAAGGGAAATGCAGATAAATGACTTGAACTTGAGATGAAGACCAAACAACAAAAGGTTTAACCTGCGTACCTCTTGGAATTACACATTAGTTTCTAGACAGATAAAATATACCCAGACATATTCCCAATAAAGTTGCATTTCTTGGCAAATTATTTTGGGCAAGGAGGTGTTCTGAGGCTTAGGATAAGCTAAAGTAACTATAGGCCTAGGCTCCTGTGTTAAGAGAATAGACCTGCAGGAAACTGCCCTCCCGTACCCCGTCCTCAACCTAATGGGATTTGGTGTTGACAGTTTCTCACTCTTTACCTCATTCCTTTCTTTCTTTTTTTTTTTTCCTCACCTGTTGCAGTTTTGAAACAACAGTAGGATACTTTGGGATGAAGCCAAAGTCTGGTGAGAAGGAGATCACACCCAACTATGTGTTTATGGTGTGGTATGAGTTCTGCAGTGACTTCAAGACCATTTGGAAACGGGAGAGTAAAAACATATCTAAAGAAAGGTAAGGTTCTAATAAAGTGTAGGAAACTGCCTTCGCCAACCTAACAAAACGTGCTTCTATAGTTCACAGGTGTCAGTATTTTCTTTCAGATCAAGTGGACGTCAAGAAAAGATTATTGCCTCAGGGTTCATAGGGAAATTCATGGAAGGCGTGCTGTCCACACAGCAGACACACTCACGTGATCTGATAAGTTACACTTTCTTAACCCCTTCCAATTACTAGCTAGTAAATGAAAGGGGAGTTGTGCTAATTTGCAACAGATTGCTTCTCTGTGTATTTTCATGTTGGCCTAGTCTAAATGAGGTAGTCTTGCTGTCGCAGACAGTACGGACAAATAAAAGTGAATGCTTTTCCCATTAATATACTGAACTTGCATCAAAGGGAAATCCCTGAGACTCGGGCCACACTTAACACAGTGTTGAAGCCCCGCACTGGATTTACAGCGCCACTTCTGACTCCCTGTATCCTGCTGAGGACATCAAACTTCATGCCGCTCGGCCTCATTGCAGCCTCCTGATTTTATTAGTTGGGGGTAGAGGAAAAACCTCGGCTCTGAATATGGGGTGTGGGTGTAGGTATGGGTGTGTGTTCTCCCAAGAGAGGCTGAATTTGGCTCTGTTGATCAGAAAAAAAAAAGCAGTTCTGCTTGATCATTGTTTTGATCAGGTTGCCACTGTTCTATAAAGGGTGTCATGGATTTAAACTTCAAACAAGTCTTGCCACTACTCCTGCACAACAGATGTATAGGAATGTCACTCAAAGTGGAATGGAAGGAGACAAAAAATTTCTACAAAGTAAGGAAAGCAGTTTATTTAAATATAGCATTTATATTTCACTCAGTGTTAAGACCTAAAATTCCATAATGCCAATATTTTTTTCTTTATATAAATAATATATGCATACAGAAACATACACAGCAAACACTAATATGTCTCATTTTAAGTTGTTTTTAAGGACATCAAACTTGAGAGATTTTGAGCCATTGTTACTGAGTCTCTAATTTCTCAAAGAATTTTTTTTTTTTTTTTTTTTTCAAAAAGAACCTTTCTTGCATTCCAAAGAAGTCAAAGACATTTGAAAATGTTTATCAGCACATCTTCAAACCATTACCTCCTTGGGAACATAAGAATTAAACTGAGCATATCCATTATGTAGATAAACTGAGCGGAGAAAACTAAGTGACCTTGTTAACAAAATAGGTTGTTGATAATAATAATAAGAATAAGTCCTAAAGATTTTGATCCTCAACTCCTTGTTCTTGTTCTTGTTCTGCAATTCTTATTTAGGCCTTTAAAATAAGCTAAAGTAGGTTTTGTGGGATAAATTTTTTATTTTATGAGCCTCATATGACAGTAGTAGAACCATACTCTTCTTCCTATAACAAGAGAGCCACTGACCAGCCAGTCCTCCGCATGCACGTAATTTATCCTACAGCCTGGAAACCCAACAGGGGTCCCTGAATGTGCAGCCTTTGCTTAAATATTTGCACCTCAAATCACAATCCTTGTGTTTTGATCACAATCCTTGATGAACCTTCTGGTTTGAGCCCTAAAAATGGTTGGGAAAAAAACATACACACAGCAGATAGGGTAATTAGTTGTTTTGCATTTTAATAATCTCTTCAAATACTGAACTATGTTCCAAATTAAGGAATGTGTCCCTATTAGAGAAGGAGCTCTGGTGGTGTAGTAGTTAAGAGATTTGACTGCTAACCAAAAGGTTGGTAGATCGAACACCCCAGCCACTCCGTGGAAGAAAGGTGAGGCAATATGCTTCCATAAAGACTTACAGCTTGGAAACCCAATGAGGGTCACTGTGAGTTGGAATTGACTTGATGACAGTAAGTTCCCATTAGGGAAGCTGGACCACATTAATTGTGGGTTGGCCAAGGTTGGTGGCAGTGGTATCCTTCAGAAAGATTTTCTCTGATTCCCAGCAACAGGCATTTGCAGCTATGCTTCCTGGGTGCAGCTGGTGAATTGCCTGCTTCACACTCTGTAAACCAACACCTTTAAAGGGTCATGACTTCACAGGACCCTTTTCAGTTCTTCCTGTTGAGCAATTTCAGGGATCTCTTCCTTCCAGCCATGCTTTGTGAGATGGGTCACCAAGGTTCCCAACCTAAAACAACATCTCTGAAAGTTAATGATGGCTAAAAAAATATTTTTGGAAGCAGCTTGTTTAGAAAAATCTATTTGTTCAGATATGTTAGCACCTTATACATATTACTGCTTATACAGTTAAACAAACTGATCAATATTCAGGGGTTTTGTGTGAAGTAAGGATTTTTAAAATTGTGTGCTGTCTTCTTAGGATTTTAGCTTTTAGAATTAGAATTATGTACTCATTGTGGTACAACAAGTAAATTAATGTGAATTCTCCTGTTATAATTAAATGAGGAACAAGATGATTGCTTTGTTTTAATACCTATTTAATGATGTTTGATATTGTAATCTTAAATTACACTTTTCCCAGAAATCCAATAAATCCAAATAATGCTAAATATCTGAAGGTAACCTAACATCTTTGAAATGAATAGTAAGTACAAAGATATCCTCAAAAATTAAATCCATAACCAAATTGAAACATAATAGCTTATAATTATTAGAAAAGAAAACTATCGTTCTGGATCCCATTAGGAGAAATTTAATCTGATTGATTTTTAAATTTATTTGAAAATTAATTAATTTATTTATTTGAAAGCCAACTAAAAACTACAAAAAAATCATTGGGAAAAATTAAGGACTAATAATATGATTTTCAAAGGAACAGATTGTATGGCAAATGATGTTTTGTTTAAAGTAGACTTCCAAATAAAATGGAAATGGTAAAAACTAATTCAGGCCACTTGAGTCTAATTTTCGGTGGTAGAGAATATTTACTTCTTCTGCTGCTTAGCAAGAATTGCACCACTATTCATGTATTCCATGAATACATATGCAAAGTTGAGATGGATGTGCTTCTGTACATGGCAACTGCCTTAGAACATTCTCTAAACACACATATGATTGTTACGTGTGTTCTTATGCCATGTGACTGAATAATAAACACTGTTGTTATGCTGGTATCAGGCACAATTCTGTGTTTAAATAAAGGAGAAGTATTTCACTGGGAATATGGTTTACTTGCTGATTACCTGTCTTAGTAGAAGAACAGCCTACTATCTAACGGTATACTACAGCATTAAAATTTTCTTGGCGTTTAAGCTAAACTTAGGAAAGATAGTAAATTTCTGTGTCTAGGCACAGTCCCTGGATAGTGCAAATGGTTATCATACTTGGCTGCTAACCAAAAGGTTGGCAGTTTGAGTCTACCCAGGAGCAATCCAAAAAAAAGGGAAAAAAAAATCAGCCACTGAAAACCTATGGAGCACTCATAGTAGAACCTGTGTTCTACTCTGACACACGTGGCGTTGCCATGAGCCAGAATCATCTTGACAGCACCTGATTTGCTGGTATCTAGGCACAAATCCAGAATGCTCCATCTTCTAAGACCTTCAATCTGTGACCCAGTCCTTGTGCGGCCCCTAGTAGTGGGATTCATTTCCCAGTGAAATATACCTGTCCCTTCTCTTATCCCTTCTCAGTACTCAGCAATATTTAGTAGTATTAAAGAAAAGACCTCTAGACAATCAAAAGTCAGCATATTAATCCTTTATTCTACTATTAATTTGCCATGCAACCTTGGGCAACTTGCTTATTGCCTAAGAGACCAGTTGTTGAATCTGTGAAATTTATATATTAGAATGAAGCAGGAACTAAGATCTCTTCTACCTTGACATTTCTATGAATCTAAAAATCATTTTTCTAATAAACCTACTTTTCATTTTTCAACATGGTTAGGTTCCAAATACCAAGTTGTTATACAAAAATGGGGGACAACCACAACAGATCACAAAGTAAAGGATGACTGCATCATTACGTAACCACCAAATTGCATCATTACATAACTGCCAAAGTGCTGAGAATCATGGTCTAGCCAAGTTGACACATAACCTTAACCATCACAGCCAACATTACTCTTACCTAGCACCTTGGTGTTCATTGCTGCCAGAAGTATATTGTTAACGTGCAAAATGGTCAGATAGATTTTTCACCATTGTCCTAAACACAAAATGTTAGATAGCAAGATAGTTGGTAAGTGAAGAGTAGGTGTATTCAGAGGAACTGTGTGTTTCATTTCTGCGACGATGCTCCTCACTTTTGCTGTTACAGTCATTAGAGACTAAATTAGAAGACATTTCCAGCCAAGGTGTAGCAGAAGAGTGGGAAAAAAATTTGGGGAAAGGGAAAATTTTCACTGCCCTCTTGGAATTGGTAGATGTCTACAGCTACCTTGCCTCACTCTTCCAGTTCTTCTCATAAAATGCAAAAATTGATCTTCACAGCCACCTTTTTTATTGAGAGTGAAGATAAAATGTTTTCTGCTGCTCATCTATATTCAACATTGTAATTACAGTTTATTATAGTTAATGAAGATCTTTATCCCCAGACTCAGCTTTGCCTCAATTTTACTTTTTCCTGCACTATTTTTGCCTTTTGATGTCCAAACATACAGTGAATTTTGGATCTATACATTTCTTCCACCTATCACATCTACAGATTTTCAAAACATATGTGTAATTTAAAGGAGGTTACCTAATGGTTGCTGCTACCTTTATTGATTATTCTTTATGCATTTTCTATTTTATTTTTATAGCTCTTTAATTATCATTGGATATAGGATTCTTCCTTATACAATATTCCACCACTTTGGATATCTTAAAACTGCTCCCCACACATGATCAAACATACAGGCCACAAAACACTACCACTGCTACTGCCCACAAAGGAGTCTGTGAATTTGCAAAAGGTAAAGAAGTTCCAGGGGAGTCATAACTCTAGTGATAAAATTTTGGTAAATAATTCACTCTGAGCCACAGCAAACTTTAAAGAACTCATAATGGGAAAGGAAGGAGTGAATAAGGAGTTTGGCAAATCTTATGTGAAATACAAGTAAGA